CCCCAAAACCCCAAAACCCCAAAACCCCAAAACCCCAAAACCCCAGGGGGGCAGAATAGCATTGAAAAGAAAGAATGATTTGAAGAAATGATATTAGAAGTTACTGTTTATCGCCCTGCTCAGTTATGACCACTGCAGGATCGTTTTGGGCTGTGAGAGGAGCTCATATCTTATCCTTCCTATCAGATTCTGTCTCTATCTCTCGAGACTGCTCCATAGAGATTGATGCCTCTTCAAGAACGGTAAGCTGTTTGAGTGAGGGTTGGATCATGGTGTTCCTCTGCTTCCCTCCTTCTACTCTTTCTTGTGATTGCATTGTAATTCTTTTGACTTTGGCAGGTGCATCTTGGAACCTCTCCCTAAACTCAGTCTTCATTTCTGAAGTAGCTATTGGAGTAGTTGCACTATCTAAATCAGATTCCGTTGGGTCATCCTTGAGATGCACTTGCTTGCTATTTCTGAATTCCACTTTGTCACCCTTGGAGTCTTCATGTCAGTAGTAAGAAAAGTGGCCTAACTCATTATCATTTGGATTGCTGACTAAATCAATTAAATTGTATGTCTACCAATGCTATATTTATTCTGCCCATCTTTCTTTAGAATTTCATTCCCTTTACTGTAATGACGATAAAATATATTCTTATTGTTGCTTCTCCTAGGTGACCCTATAGGGTTTTCTCTTTCAGGCTCTGACTGTTTATTAGTTGAAGTCATTGATCCATTTGTCAGAAATTTTCTTGCAAAGCCAGGGAAACTATTCTTTGATGAAAATGATCCTGGATTCAGACGATTTTTAGTTTCACTAGAGATCAGACAAATACTCTACGATTCTTCCAAAGTGCGATGAGAGGAAACAGGGGAAGCCTGCACTCCATTCTCATCATACAGTATGAAAGGATGAATGAATAGGTCATCTAGCTCTATACTACCCTCAAATCATGTATCAAGGAAGCTGATCAGGTTAGGTGGAACGTTCTTTTCATTATACACGGTTTCATCAAACTTCTCTATAATTTCAAAGATTTTAGTCAAGTGTTTAACAACTGTCTAGAAGGGAAGTCTCCCTTCTGATATTAAGAAGCAGCTTCAAAGAAATTATCAATTTTGGTCCATATTCGGTGATGAGAAAAGACTGTTTATACTTACCAAATGAGATACCAAGCATGTCTAGAATCATGATTCCCATTGCTAGTATATCTAATCGAATCCCTTCTTCAGTTGTCAAGGGATTTTTAACCCTTAGTGCGTTCATGAGTCCATAATCTACCATGATAATGTTCCAGTTCTATGAAATAATTCATTGGATATATATACCTGATCAACATATACATTATTACAGTTCAATCGTCTATGAGATGACTTATAGAAGCTTACCCATGGTAGAGACCTTTCTCTTGTAAAATCGCTAGTGCTCTCATTACCTTGACTACAAGTCTCTACATAAGCGTCAGAAATGACAGAAGAATTAATGTAAACCCACTCGAATGATTTTCTCACTGAATGCTTCTCAATTCTCAAGAGATTCTGAAATTTGAATTGATTCCTGCATCTAAGATACGTTGAGATAGTTAAATTTCTTACATAATCCATTGTAAGAGTGAGGGATGTGCCTGACTCTAGCTCGCCTTCTCCTTCAGCTTCAGCCTCAGCCTCAGCCTCAGCCTCTATATCTTCATCCTTTTCGTGCTCATCAAGATAGAGCTGGTGGTAAGGTCAGAACATGGGATAACTTTTTAATTCCTTCCTATAAAGTTAATAAAATTTATTTACTGCATATGTTTTATGGCTTCTAGCATTGGCTTGTGGTACATCAACACTTCTTTCTCAGGAAACTAAGGTGAGTGAAAGGCTTACTCAAAAAGTCTTGATTACAAACGGCTCTTGGGTGGTCAGATTAATGGCTCAATAGACATCAGAGATCTCTCCCTGGCCTAATAATTCTAACTTATGGTACTCAAATATTTCCTTTTCGTCCTCTGTTATAATAAGACTAAAGATGTTACCAGTGAGTTCCTTGGCACCACTGTCCCTGAACCTGAAGTGGTAGGTCTTCCGGATGGCTCCAAGCTTCTTAATACATTCTTCTTCACTCTGGATACTTCCTTCGTAGCGTAAATTACTACATAGAGTTAGTTCTGGGCATGGTAAGTTAAGAATCAAGAAATTAAAATTCTGAATTACCTATCAACTGTTGACCCAAAAGCTCTGTTGTTCTTCTCATTTACATTTGAATTCTGTTCTTTCAGTGTTGTTTTCCTATGTAATTTTAGATTCCATTTTAAGAAGGATGTAAATTGGGTTGGAAAAGTAGCCATTGAAATAAGGTTTCTTGTACATCTTCAAAATCTACCTAGCCAACAATATTTCAGTAATAAAATACTTTTGAGGGGTATTTTCTTTCGAATTTAAGCAAAATAAGGCATATTTTATGATCCTCAGCCTGAGCAAAGTGTTAAGGCGAAGAGCCGCAGAAATAGAATAATTAATTTATCTTCTTCATAACTTTTAATTAAAAGAAAACCATCCTCAAGAATTTGTGTTTTATTAACTTACTTCTCTATCTTATTTCCTAAGCATTTGTGTTCTTTCATAAACCTTATTGAGCTGACTGTTCTCGACTAAATGAGATAAATTATTAGCTATCCTTCTTCCATAATACTCTTGTGGGGACCTATTTGGTAGCTTTTGAGGCTCTAAATCCTTCCAAAAACTGACTGGAATCCCTTTAAAAACTTACTAATATTCGTGTAGCTATCCTTAGGCCTTACTGTGACCTTCCGCTTTCAGCATTGTGCACCCATTTGTTATATTTAATACTAATAATTTCTATGAAATTCTTCTCATCTGGGGTTTTGGGGTTTTGGGGTTTTGGGGTTTTGGGGTTTTGGGGTTTTGGGGTTTTGGGG